TTCACCATCTCTTTGACAGTGACTCTGGCCTCATTTCAGTTCCTCACATAAGACCCTCCATCTCCTGATTCTATGCATTTTTATAGGCTACCCCTCATATCTGGAATGTTCTTCCTCCTTACCTGCACCTCCTAGCTTCCTTCAAGCCTCAGCTAAAATTCCACTTTTTTTGCACAAAACATATCCTGATCCTTCTTAATGTCAATACTTTCCCTTGAACTTACCTCTGATTTATCATGCATATATATGTTTGTACTTTTTTTTTTAAGCATATTATCTACACCCTTTAGATTATGAGCTCCTTTAAGGGCAGGGATTGTTTTTGTCTTCATTTATATCCCGAGCTCTTAGCATCATACATCCTTTCCCTCCAACAAACACACTGGAGGCACTTCATAAATGTTTGTTAATTTGGCTCTATTGAAAGGAAAACAAAAGCTACTGTTGACTTCTCAAAATATAACTCCTACGGAATTTAAATGTAGCCAAAAAGCCTTACTAGAACATCAGCTGCCTGGGAGCATCCACCAGGGCCTATTTATCTTTAAATGTAAGGAAAAAAATATATTAAACTCTTGCCACATGCCAAGTACTATGCAGAGTACTGGGGTGGGGGGGGGGGAGGAAGAGGGGAAAAAAGACAGCACCCTGCTCTCACAGAGCTCTGTGAACCTTGGGAATCAATGGCAGAACAAGTGGTCTCCATCCATTGATGATTAGGAAGGAGGTATCAGACCTAAGGGCCAAAATGCAGTGCGGTTTGAGGTAGAAAGGAATGGGCACCCCAGCCAAGAATGGTCATCCAGAACCTGATAGAAACTAAGTAATGGTGGTTAGAGTGAGGGAAAAGGGTTCAAAGAGACCTGTTCCTTCTGGTCCTCATCTTCCCACCCTTCAGAAAGCTGATGCTGGGCCTTCCTCCCCTCAGGTTACATCTTCCTCAGCTGTGAGCACAGTATTAAAGCACATATGGGGATGTTTAATAAATGTTCAAAAGATAATTTTGTGTTTAGTGTGTGTTGTGGTGCCAATAATAGTATATAGGTATGTACAAATGTTTGTATTTGAACAGGCAACATGATTTAATGGACAGAGAAGCTAGCTTCAAAGTCAGGAAGCTCTGGATTCACCTCCTGCATCTGCAACATACTGGTTTGGTGACTCAGGGGATTATTTACACTCCCAGTGCCCCAGGCTACTCACTGAGACTAAATTATACAGTTGCTAATTTGCATTTTCAGAAGGTATTTTCATTATTGGCAGTTCCATACACCCAGTACTATAAAACGGTATATAAATCTAACTTGGGCTGGAGTGGGATTAGGGGGAGGAAAGGTGGGGCAGGACAGGAAGTTAGCCAAACAAAACTAATGTCTTCTTATTTCCTTTGTTATAGTCTGAAATTAGAAAAGCAGCAAAGGGCAATTTGTGTAAGAGCTGAGAGTAATCAGGGTGAATTTGAAAGCAGCAAGGGAGTGTGAAAGAAATCAGGAAGAAACCCTCAAGCTAATTTGATAAAACCCGACCCCTTCTTGCAATCCTTTTTTTTTCTAATTTATTCTGTTTTTGTGAGAATCTCCATTTGTATAAAGTCAGTACAAGGATAATAGGCAATTAATCTTTTTCTTGAGAATTGTTACTAGGAGTAGCAGCATAACTAAACAGGAAGATGTCTGATGCACTTAATGGAGGAAGCTAGAGAGAGGTTTAACATTCCCAGGAGAACCTGAGTTCAAATTCGACCTCAGACACTTGTGAGCTGTGTGACTCTGACCAAGTCATTTAACCTCTCTTTACCTCAGTTTCCTCATCTGTAAAGTGAGCTGGAGAAGGAAATGGCAAACTAGTGTAGAATCTTTGTAAAGAAAATCCCAAATGGAGTTTGGAGAATCAGACATGACTAAAACAACTCTACAACACTGAACACAGGTCCTCTAACCCAGAGCCACTGTTCTTTTAACCCTCTTGTACTTCTTCCTAAAGAAATATTTTCCTTGCTAAGGAGTGGCGAATTTGTTACATAGTGATTAGTCTTACATACTCACTCAAAAGGATACGTTATGAAATTGACAACAAACAAACAAACCCTCCAGTGCTTTTCCTGTAGTAGTGCTGGTAATGGTAATAGACAACAGTAGCTACCTCAGTAACGTTATTATTGTTGAGTCATTTCAATCCTGCCAGATTCTTCATGACTCTATTTGGGGTTTTCTTGGCAAAGTTACTCAAGTTCCTTCTTCAGTTCATTTGGCAGATAAGAAAACTGAAGCAAACAAGGTGAAATAACTTGCCGAGGATCAACAGCTAGTAGGTGTCTGAGGCTGGATTTGAACTTATAAAGATGAGTCTTCCTGATTCCAAGTCCATTTCTTTATCCACTGTGCCACCTAGCTGCCCCTACCTTGGTAGTGGCTAATGTTTACATAATATCTTATGGTTTACAAAGAGCTTTACAAATATCGTTACATTTTATCCTCACAATTACCTTGGAAGGTGTTATTATTATCACCATTTTACAGATGAGAAAGCTGAGGTAGGTGTTAAATGACTTGTCCAGACTCACAGAGCTAATAAGTGCCTGAGACCAGATTTTAATTCAGGTCCTCCTGACTTCAAGTCCAGTGCTCTATCCACTGACCCACACAACTGCCATATTCTTATGGAGAAAAATGACTATAGCCAATGAATATAGCATTATTTCATATATGCTACATTTATTAATATCTATATACTTGCATTTACTTTATAGGAAATATGCAAGCAGTGAATTCAGAAGTGGCCATGCATAGTTATCAGTTTGCATAGTGCAAATATTGACCCAGTAGTGTACAAAATTTTGAATTTTATATAATATTTTGACGCATGTGTTAACTCATTTGAACCTCACAATGAGAATCCTCTCAGGTACCCAAGAGACATGCCCTGGATCTGACCATTCAATTTCATAGGTACTTAGGCCTGTATTCTTGTTGACTGCTTTGGGCAGAAAGACCCAGTATTCTCATCACATAGTTAGTTACATTATCAGCTAATCATAAGAGTTGGCTTTTATGAAAAATGACATAAAGTAATGTAACTATTTATTGATATCAATGACTCACCTATACATGTGTATGTATATATGTATGTATAATATTTATTGGCTGAATCACTGATTTGTTGTTATTCAGTTATTTTTTCGGTCATGTCTGACTCTTCGTTCATTACCCCTTTTGGGGTTTTCTTGGCAAAGAAACCACTGGAGTGGTTTTCTATTTCCTTTTCCAGCTCATTTTACAGATGAGGAAATTGAAGCAAACAGTGTTAAGTGCTTTGGCCAAGGTCGCACAGCTAGTAAGTGTCTGATGCCAGATTTTTGAACTCAGGAAGATGATGAGTCTTCCTGACTTGGTTGTTCCAACTTGATATCATTGGAATCATTGATACCAGCAGTTATTTTTATCAGTATTTTAGTTCAGGGTATAATGAAAGGTAGAAACTAGCCTCCATAAACTCTTCATGTCATATATATGGATTAATCCCAAGATTCCTCATACTCTAGTATAGGAAGCTCTAGTTGAAGAATGTCCTTGTCCTGTTCAGGTCAACATCTTTATAATTTATAATGTTAGAAAGTTGCTTGAGGCTTGGAGAAGTTATCACTTGCCCAATGTCATGTATCAAGTGTGTTCCAGAGGCAGAAACCCAGGTCTTCCTAACTCCAAGGTCAGCTCTCTGGGCTTTTCATCATGTTGACTCAGAGAGAGATACAAATCCTGCCTCTGACTCTGATTACCTTCAGCACACGGTTGAAACTCTGAACCTCAGTTTCCTCATCTATAAAATGAAGAAGCTGAACTACATTATCTCTGTTCTTCTTTCCAGCTCTACGGAGATCTTGTAATTCTTTCACCTCTAGTCAGTCAACAAGTAATTATTACCTACTCACTACCAGTGCTAAGTGCTGCAAATACAAACAAAGAAAGTCCTTCCCTTGATAAGCTTACATTCTAATTGGGGAAGGCAACACAAAAAGAAACGAAATAGGGAGGGGGGATAGAGAGAAGGTACCTGGCAAGTTCAGAGGTGTGCAAACTGGTGGGAAATGGAAAGATGACTGTTCTGGGCAGCCTCCTTCATTGGAGGTTCTGGAAAGAACTCTGTGTCTTCCATCTACCCTATAAACTAAGAGATTATATCCAAGGGCAGAGGGTACTAAAGAGATATTTCTAAGGATGAGGTGACCTTCCAGGATGAAGCAGTTCCTCCATTTATCTATCCCATAAAGAATTACGAAAGTAAAACTTTGAAGAGAAAATCCCCACCTTTTATAGGAAGCTTTCCCAATCCCTCTTAATTCTAATGTCTTCCCTCTGTTAATTATTTCCTGTTTGTCTTGTAGAGCTTAATTTTTACATATTTGTTTGCATACTGTCTCCTTCTTTAGACTATAAACTCCTTGAGTGTAGGGATTGTCTTTGCTTCTTTTTGTATTCCCAGCACTCAACTCAGTGCTTGGCACACAGTAGGCACTTAATATTTATTGACTGAGAAGAATACAAATATAATCCTATCAAAAATATTTCCCATGTAATGCTCCTAGAGAGGATGCAAATGCTTCTTTCTTTGTGTTTAATTCATTGGGTGGAGATAATAAGAATCTTTGATGAATAAAAGGGGTTCTTCATTGGTTTTCCTTTATTGTATAAGTTCTAATGCTATTTGATATATTTCTCTCTCTTACTCATAATTATTTTTAAATTGTAAAACCCCTAAACTTTATCTCTATATCTTATGCTTCTCTATCTACATATTCTTCTTATTCGCTCTCCAGTTAAGCAATCTCAGGCTATCCAATGTCCAGGAAGAGGAGGTGTTCTGCTCCAATCTCTAGAACCAAAGCAGCCTGGGACCTTTTCTGTTCTCAAAAACTAACCAAACAAACAAAAACAATAACAAAAAAGAAACATACACTCAATTCCTTGCTATAACTTTTTTCCTCTTTTTCCTCCTCCCTACAGGAACTTTTTACCCCTGAATGCAAGTTTAAAGAATCTGTTTTTGAAAACTATTATGTAATCTACTCATCCATGCTGTACAGACAACAGGAATCTGGTAGGGCCTGGTTCTTGGGTCTTAATAAGGAAGGACAAGTCATGAAGGGAAACAGAGTGAAGAAAACAAAACCAGCAGCTCATTTTCTACCCAAGCCATTGGAAGGTAAGTTTCACATTTGTATCATTACTTTCATATTTGGATTGAAATGATTTTAAAAGTAGTTAACTGAGGTATCTGTGGTATAAATTTTAGTTCCTCCTCTTCCCATACTATCTGGATTTGATGTTTTACTCCATTCTCTGATAAAAGGAGGGGTTCAAGACCTACATATCAGTAGTTCATATGTTCTGTGGCTCTTTGCAGAATTAACTCTATAGAATTTATGCAAACAAACATAAAACTCAAACCATAAAACCCTTATTGGTGGGGCCAAAATACGATTTTGCTTATTGTATTAGTAGTCAACATACTATGTACTATATTTATTTTCAGTATTCCATTAACCCAAAAATATTCTCCATCTCTCATTGCCAAAATTTATTCCACTGAAACAATGGCTTGGTGATTTTCAAAAATAAATATACATTATAAATTTAAAAGCCTACATTATAAAAGGGCCTTTGGAAATTCTACATACCAAGAAGAAGACAGTTTTTATTGTTGTTATCTGCTTATGGAGATGCTAAACTAGATTAAAATAGCAGTTTCTTTCTTGAACATGACAAAGATTAGGGAACACATCCTGACCTTATGGAACTAAGTGACATTATAAATTTCAAAATGTGTTCATTTCCAGTCTTCATACAAAATTGTGAAAATGCCTTATCTTGCTCAGATTATTTTGCAGAGGTTGTTTGTCATTTGTCATGTTGAACATCACACATTGTCTTTGATCATATCTCTGCACAGCTGTCCTAAAAAGGAGCCTTGTTAACTAATCAGAAAAACACTTATGCCTTTTTCAGTGACAGTTCTATCAAAAGTACCATTTACTTCTTTCCATGTTGCACTTGTTTTGAGAACTACAAAGTTAAACTTGATTTTAAGGGATTTCAAATCCATAAGGCTGTTCCAGTGATTTTTGTTTCTTTTATGCAGAAAATCAACTCTGTCGAATGAGGATAAAGATGTTATAAAAACCAGCACAAGCCGTTCTATCCTTGCTTTTTTTCCTTAAATGAAAAGCTGTCCCTTCCTATGAAGTTTTCTCTATATTTTAAGCCCATCTCTAGGAGTGCAGACTTTCAGAGTGGGAGTGTACATCAGTGCCCATCAATTTCAGCCTATTAAAATAGGATCTTCAGCAAATTATTTGACAAATGGTCATCCAGCTTTTGCTTGAAGACTCCAGCAGTGGAGGATGAGGGCACTGCTTTCCAAGGCAGCCTATTCCACTTTTGGATAGGTCTAATTATTTAGAAATTTTTTTCTTATTTTGAGTCTGAATTTGTGTCTTTGAAAGTTACACCCATTGATTCTGACGAAAGAGAAGAAATCTAATATTTTGTCCAAGTGAAAGTCCTTCAGATACTTGAAGACAGTTTTTCTGTCCCTTCTAAATTCTTCAGTTCCTTAGGGTAAATATCCTCAAACTGATTCTCATATGATTTAATCTTGAAAGCCTCTATCACCTTAGCTGCCCTCTTCTCAGTCTATCAGTATCCTTCCTAAAATGTGGTTCCTGGAATGAACACAGTTCTCCAGATGTAGTCAGAGAAAAGCAGAGTACAGTAGAACAATGTCTTTCTTACTGGCACTAAAAATACCATCAGTTTTCCTGGCTGCTATATCATACTGTTGGCTTATTTTGCAATTGTAGTCCATCTACAAGAGCCCTCAGAATTTTGTCTAACTTTACTAACTAACTTTACTAACTCTAGCCCTGCCTCTTCCACCTTATACTTAAAAGAGTGATTTTTTTAACGCAAGTATAAAACTTTATCAGCAGTAAATGTATTTTGAGCAAATAGTCTAAACTGTCAAGACATATTTGAATACTATCATCTACTATATTAGTCGTCTCTCCCAGATTTGCATCAACTACAAATTTGATGAATTTGCCATTTATGTATTCATACCAAGCATTGAGAAAAATGTCAAACAGCATAAATCCCTGGGATATACTGCTTAATACCATTCAAGATGGCACTAAACCATTAAATGCAGGTCTCGCCACTGAGTTCTTTTTTTTTTCCTTTGAGACAATGATTTTTGTTATTTTAAGTCTCCCATTTGGCAACCTCAAACATACTCATTTAAAAAATTTTTAATGTAGTACTTAAAAACTAAGATCCTGAAAAGCTTACAAAATATCAGTTCTACTGACTTGTATTCAGAAATTAGAAATATTTATTATGCATATTTCCTTCAGTTTTAAGGCATAACCTAGCCATTTAAAACAAAAGATCCTAACGATGTACTAGTTTCTCTTATAGTATATAAAATGGTTGCACCAAAGCAAACTTCTGTTTTCCATTAAAAAAATACAACATATTAAAGTGTAAAAGGCTGAAAAACTAAAGTAATTTTCAAAAATAATATTTAACACAGCTACTTAGTTTTCTGTAGGTCACAACTTTTGAAAACACCAATTTTAATTACAATTCATGAAAAATAGAATCCATCAAATTATGCTGGCCTTTAGCTCACATTTATTGATCTTTTCTATATAAATAGACCATTAGAGGTTATTTTGGGTCAAATTATTTGCTAAAATTCCAGATAAGTTATATTTATAACATTACTTCCTTTCCTACATGTTCTCTTACCATCACTATAATAATTTTAGAATTCTGTCAGGAATTGAAACCAAACTCATTGGTCCAGAGCATGAGTATCAAACTTGTGGTATACAAACTAAGTGTGGCTAGAACCAAATTAAAATGTAATTGGGAAAAATTTAACGAATGAAAATTTTAAAACAGTACAATATAGATAATATTAATTTGTGCTTTTCTAAGTCACTACGTGGAAGGAAGGGTGTATCTGAGTTTGAAACCATTTATCTAGACTTTGCAGGTTTAATTTTCTTTCTTTTTTCTTTCAAATCTAGGGATCTTGTCCTCAAATTCTATGTTTCCTTTCTCTTTTTTCCTGATTTTTGAAAGATGGCTAATGGTGGCTCAGCAATCACACCTGCCATATTTTTTCAGTGACTTGAACTCATCAAGGGAAGCCAGGTGCTCTTTATATTTATGTTGGGTGTCTCCTACCTATAAATCTATATTACATATTTTTTCAGTACAAAATGCTTGTGCAGAAGAATTTGACATGCAATGATGAGTCAATTCTCAGTTTCACAAAGATACATCAGAAATTTCAGTTTCAAGTTACTGAAATCTTGATTTCAAAAATGTACCTATGATAGTTAAATACTTGTTTGTAGCACCAGGCTCACTGTCACATTCCCCCCTCACAGTAATAGGCTGGGTCCCTAGAGGGAGAATGACTACTTCTCTTTCAGAATGCAAAAGGTTACCCAAAGGTGTAACCACTTCTAATACTGTCACTCTTAGGCCTCATCTGATATGCTCCCCCAAAAGGAACCAGTTGACATCAATGCACTTCTCTCTCTCTCTCTCTCTTTTTTTTTTGCGAGGCAATTGGGGTTAAGTGACTTGCCCAGGGTCACATAGCTAGTAAGTGTCTGGTCTGAGACCAGATTTGAACTTAGGTCCTCCTGACTTCAGGGCCTGTGCTCTATTGACTGAATCAATTCACTTCTACAACAGGGCATTTACTTTAAAAATGTATAGCATGGACTCTAGCTACAAAACAATTCTCCCCAAATCAAAAGGTGCACTCCCCTTATGCATACTCACAAGGTACCTTGGGAAGAATAGGATTAAGCTTGAAGAACAAAGGTGGTGAGGCACATATATTAAGAATGTGTGGGGCCAACCTATCTCTTAGACCCTAGATACCTGGCTTTCAAGGATTTCTTACTATATTCACTTCAGAGAGTACCATCAAAGATGGGCAAGTAGCCCCTTTGCTCAGCTGGCCTGGCTCCATCGAGGACATAGTGGCTTGTTTGGTGGGTCATTCCATTGCTTAGACCTCTTTGCTACTAAGCTGAACTCTTAACAGACCGCTGCTGCTACCAAGTGTGGGTTTGAGCTATCAATGGAATCTTGGATGGCTTTGATAGAGTTTCTGGTCTCAGTACTCACCTGGGAACCCTTATCTCAGAATACTTATTCACCTAAGATGAGCAAAAGAAACTCAACAGCAACAGAAGAACTATACATGGTGGCTAAGTGGGAAATAAAGCTGTACCTCATCTCCATTTAGTAGCTGGAAATAGTCCTCCTACCTTGAAAATTTCTAGGGAAGAAAAGCAAAAGAATATCGATTTGAACCTTTTGTATGCACACTTGGGCCCAACTGAGCAACGAATTAAAAGACTTTTTATCATCACACAGTATCCTGAAAGGGAAACATCAGATTATATGTGAGCGTGTAGGCATCAAAAACTGGCTCCAGCATAATAAGGGGGGGAGTGGAGGTAAAAGACTCCTCATAGTAATGAGGGGAACTAGCATGGTTGAAACAAGATTCACCAGGTCTCCAGATTCATCGTGTTTCCATGTGTTGAATTGAAACCTGGTGGAGGGATACTGCATATGCTGTGTATTACCCACCAGGAAAGGCAATTCCAGACACTCACAAAACACTGGGCTTTCATTAATGACACTATTTTGTTGTTGCCTCTTATGTTTTCTCTCAGTGATTAAGATCTTATGATCTGCTTAATTGGAGAATTGTTAATGTCTCAATTCCTTTCATTTATTTTGTCTTATTTCTGAAGCTCTTTGAAATCCAAGCAGATAAGAACATCTCTTACCCAGGATAGATCAGAGAAAAGATAACTCTTTCCTCAATGTGAGAGATAAACAAAATGGAATGAGGAGACAGGGAAGTTCATGAGAGAGGCAGAATGGGGAAACAAGTTAACTTTTTCACTTTTCTTAAGTCAGATTTTGATGGTGGGATGCCAGTATTCTACTCAAAGAGACTTCTAAAAATATAATCTATACCCATACTTCACTGGACCTAGATTTCATATCATGTATTTTCTCCTTTCCTGCAGTAGAGATAATAATCCACCCATATTTTTTGTCCTATTCCCATGTCTTTCCAGAAATCATCCTTATAGGATCCATGATCCATAGCCATATAACATCATCAGAAGACAATAGGTTTCACAAAACCAATTTTTTTTTTCAGGGAGAAGCCTAAGTGTTATTGAAAGTATTGGAATTCTTTCTCTTACTTCATTCTCGGTCCATCTGTAGTACTGGTGTCAGATCTGTGCATTGACAGATGTGCACTTCTAAATTACTCAAATGCGTATCATCATCTGTGTAAGACACATTCTTCATCCACTTAGTTTTTCTCATTACTGAACTTTGTAGTTTCCTGGGATTTAATTCAGTTACTCCAATACCCTTAATAAACAGGTGCATCAGGAGGAGTTCACCAACATTTATCATATTTTCCAATAATTAGAAAACAGAAGTACTCTGCAAGCAATTATGTGCAAGGGCTGTAATAGCAAACATCGCCTGCCACATATGGGTACTGGGGAAAGGTCAACTAAATTCAAACTTCCAAAGCTAAGGACAAGATTTAAAATATGTTATTGGAAGTATTAAAGAGGAGTTAAGTACTTGCTTAGTTAAAGATGTTAAAGTTCTTCATATCTCTTCTACAACTTCTCCGCATAGGAAACCAAAATCAGTCCTTTGATGCTTCTGTCTCCCACTATAATTAGTCAAGGGAGGGAGGGATTCCAGCTTCATTCAGCAGCACAAAGTCCCTCTTAAACCACTGTGTGAGGACATCTCTGTTAACACAGCTTTGATCTTCATAAATGTTGTAAAATTTGTATCTCGGTTGAAATATTACCTGGTTCAGTGCAGTAGAAAGGGAGATTTCTGCCACATCCGTTAGCCAGGCAGCTTTAATGCTCCAGCTTCCTAACTGAATGGGTCTGTACTTTCTACAAAAGATTCCTACAAAAGCCCAAGAAGCCCCGTTGGGCTAGCTCTGATTCACTTGGATTTCTGCTGGCAGATTATTTCTAGTATTTCATTGTTCTTCCACCCACTGGTCACTGTGAAATGTGCCTTCCTAGTATTTCCTGGAATGTCTTCCTAAGAGGCAGATACTGTTCCATCTATTGTGATTAAGTACATCATCACCAGGCTCATTCCGAACATTTCTCAGAGCTGAGTCAAATGTCAGCTTCCCGCTCACTTTCTTTTCACACTGTGCTTTCTGCTTTGTACAGGATGAAACAAAACAAAACAAAAGAAAACAAAAAGAAAGAAAGAAAAAAAAAATTGCTTTTTTAAAAGCATGTGAGGAATGACAATAAATGCCATGCAGGTGCTAAAAATTGGTTCAAGTATGATTAACAAGGGCGGGGGGAAGAGGGAGAAATTTTAAACTAAGAGATGTTCACTGGAAAGCTTTGGCATAATTAAGGTCAGATTCCTTCTTTATAATATTGGATTACCCTGATTTTTCACACTATTGTTAATGTGATGGCCTTGAAACACTTGAAAGAAAAAGAATAATAATGAATGGTTGGCACCTAGAAATCTCCACAAAAAGAAAGTCTCTACTGTCTGTATGTTTCTCAGAGATATAGATGGAAAGAACCTTAGATGGTAGCCTCAGGGTATACAGATGTAACTTTAAGTAGACATTACTTTTCAAAGAAGAGCCCCCTGGTATGGGGGAAATAAAAGATTGAGATAGGACACCTGGTGCTAGCCCAGTTTCCATGACTTTTAATATTCAAAAATTATCTATAAAATGTTTCAGGCAGCTGGTGGAGTAGAGCCCATGTTGGCTTTGAAATCGGGGAACTTGAGATAAAAAAAAAAGAAAAGAAAAGAAAAAGCTGGCTCTCTTACTTGCTACTTGTATGACCTTGAAAAAGTCATTCCTTATCTTTGGGCCTCAGTTTCTTCCTCCAAAAATGAAGGGGGTCACACTAGATGACCTCTAAGGATTTATCCAGTTTGAAGACCCATGATCCATGCAACTAGAAAGGGAGAAAATGTTTATTTACTTGCCCCTTACTGCTGCTTATCTGAGCCAATGAACTTCCTTTTTGTCTTTCTTTCTTTTAAACACTAGTTGCCATGTACAGAGAACCATCTTTGCACGATGTTGGAGAAACAGTGCCAAAAGCCGGGGTGACTCCAAGTAAAAGCACAAGTGCGTCTGCAATAATGAATGGAGGCAAACCAGTGAACAAGAGTAAGACCACATAGCCAGATCCTCACAGGTGTTGTGACTTAACGCATCCTGAGCAAAGTTGAGCTCTTTCTCCTTGCCAGACATTTGGGCTCTGGGATCTATGGAGCAGCTAGAAGCAAGTGAAGGCTTGCTCTTTGCTGCTTCCCAACAAACTTGTTGCAAATGGATAAAGCTCAACGTGTTGCACCCTCTTCCCTTCCCTTGCTCTCCCCATTCCAAGAGGACACCTGGATAACCAGCTAAACTCAGACCATGGAATGCCCTACCAGATATGGAATGCCTTTTTAATATCTTTTCTGTGACTGTGACACTTCATGTGAATGACATACTTCACTTGATACACTTGATACCTTGCCTGCTGACAGTTACCCATAATCCCTTTCTGAGTCCAGTTTCAGCAAAATTCATGTGTTTAAGTTCAATTTTGTAGCACACCAATAATATTGAGTACTTTCTAGTTAGACGCTGTAACCCTGTGCTATTATGGATTTCTCTTCCTTCCCCCCCCTTTTTTTTTTTACAAGGCTGCTCGCTCCACTGTCTGTGATCTTTTGCAGGGATTGTGTTTTCTCTAAAACTTAAATGTTACAGGTAGCTGAGTTTGGAAAGCAATCAGGGAATCAGGAACTTTCTAAACCTATAATTATAAATTGCATCTATAAAGAATAAGGTTGTTGTCATTGACTTACACTATTGATTAAATTATGAATATGCTCTAATATCAGATATCGTGCTCCTGAGGTCAGCATAACTGGGGAGAGAAACGTGTCAAACATGACCAGTGGAAAGCTAAGATAAGTGTTTGACATCCCCCTATAGTTTCTTTCTGTGTGTGTGTGTGTGTTTTATACATATCACAAGCTTACTGGTAATGGTAACATTTGCCTTGCCCAGCGAGCAAGACCCACTGGTTTTTGAGAAAGTGGGTCCAAAGAACTCTGTAGGCCTTGTAGGCCTGAATTAAGGCTCATTTTTCATCTACTAATCTTCATTATTTGAAAAACAATAATTACGACTAACAAGAATTGCGCTACCTAAATCCATTTCAAATCCAGTTTTTAATGAACTGAACTTAATACCATCCCAATTTTTGGCTGCGTTCCACTCATACTCAGCAGAGCATGGGCAAGGCGGCTGTTGTGTTATTTTCTGAAGCAGCAATGCAAAGGTTAGTTATAAATTAGACTTTAATATTTTTGGTGTTTAACGACAAGTTTTTAAACTGGACATATTAGGGGAAAAAAAAAGTATTTTTTTTAGCTCAGCATGCCGAGTCCAGTACTGTGTATTTCACCAGTACATACCTCTAACCCAGCTCTTTGGGGCACGCCCACAAATGGCTTGGTTACAGGTGCCTTGCCTTGATCTCAGAATACAGTCTGTTGAATTGCTATAGATGAAAAAAACAAAAACAAAAATAAAAACAAAGGAAAACAAGCTCATTAGAAGATCAGCTTTTAACTTCATCTTTTTTTTTCTTTTTCTTTCTTTCTTTCTTTTCTTTTTGAGGGAGTGGGGCAGACTACTGTTGATGACTCGTAGGGCTGTTCATTGAACTCAGTGTAGCCAACATAAGACACAGGCTATAGCAGTTGGCTAAGGGATAACAATGCCATACAAAATGTCAGCTATTAAAGGTGAAAATTTTCAAAATACTTAGTGTTTATCTTGTCAAAGATTTAATAGATAGTGAAAATTGTGTATGCTTTAGGAAAACTAAATTTTGATTCTCAGAAGAAGTAATTATGACCAATCTGTACCTCAGTCCTGGAAAACTATGTGGGATCAGTGTCCTGGCCTCTTGTCAGTATATTTAAGGAGAAGGATGACATGATCACTGTTTCTCCCATCTGCAATGTATTTACTGGGGAATTCTTTGGTCATTGCTTCACACTAAGCATCATAAGAGCCCTTACTTGTTATTTAATACTTTTGGTCTGCTTAGCTGATTAATGATTTGATATAAATGAACTGTTTATGCTTCTGAAATTTTCATATTGGATTCAGTTTTAATAAATAAAAGTTAGTACAATGTATGAGTAGAGTATCATGGATGATGCTAAATAGACAAAGTGGTTCTTTTACCTCTTCTTAATTTCTCTTAATTCCATTTTAAATGCTGGGTAAGCCAATTTGACTGTAACTTTGGAAGGTGAAGAAACATTTTGTGAAGTTCATTCTCCTGTAACATGGTGGGGAGGGAAAAGCATGGTCTCCTTCAGTGCTACAAGACAGTAAGCACAGTGAAACTCGGAAGTTTAAAGAGATGGGGCTGCTAAGTACCATATACTCAAATCCCTACTCTCCCTCCCCCATTCCCATGAACATACCCATTGTTTTCGATATTAAACTCTACTTGCTGGGTCCTTCTTTCTCTGCAAATCCCTTTGACTGGTTAAAATTAAAGCTGAATTTGTAAATGACTAGAATGTCCTGTAATTGTAACACCTTTGCTTTTAGTTTGTCTGTTTGTTTCTATGGGTTGTCTGTAAGGGTGTTTATTCCTATGAATGGATGTCTTAGAACAGTTTCTTCTAAAATATGTTTCAACATAGAACAGAGGGGTCTTTGTTATTTGTGCTTTGGTTAGGCCTTTAATTTTGTGTCTGGTCTCATCTGTTGCATGGGAGAAGGACGGCAATGGTGAACTGCATGTAGTAGGCCCTGTGTATCAAGAACTGTTGGTATGTATTACTAAATTTACATACATATATGCAAAGAGTTTGTCTGCATTGTACAGTTTCTGTGTTTATTATCCTTTGTTGTATACACAGATGCAACATATTGAATAAAATATTTATACAAAGGCATATTGAAAAACATCAAACAACTTTATGTAAGAAATAGAATGTGCAAAAATGATGTTGCACCACCCACAAATATAGAGACATGTCATGTAAATAGGTTGGTAAACTCAATTTTCCCCTTTGCCATGCCAAAGAAAATTTTAGCTCCATGATAATACCTCTATTGCTGTTTTTCAGGATAAGATTTCACCATTCTGTTTCCCCAAATTAAGTTTGCTGTTATTAAGTGAAAAATGTTACTGCTGCAGTACTGTATAGTAAATCTGATGGAATCGATTTGTACTTACAGATTGTGTGTCTTGTACTTCGATGTACATATCCACCAAGTTTCTACAGTTGCCCATCCCTTTGGCATGTATGTCTTGTGAGAGCTTTGATTTCTGTTGGTTTCCTATTTGCTTTCTACAGTTCCCCACTGAGAGACTATTATCAATAACCCCCTGCTCCCATAATGCTCATCCCATAAATATTCCAAGCACTAGCTTTGTTTTCCAACCAGATTGGTTTTTAAACAGTTTTTGGCTACAGTAGAAGCCGGCAGCATTTGCAGAGATGTGATACAATCAGTCCACCTTTCAGCAGACAGAAGCTGAACAGGAGCGCTGCTCCCGCTATTCAGAACATCCCCCCGGTTTGTCCATTGTTAAATATCTCTTGAACACCTGTATGGAATTTCTTTTCGGGTCAAACATCAATGAAGAGAAGAAGGGGGAAATGTAAGTTTTCTGATTTGAATTTCTCACATTTTACAAAACTGAGTCCAGGGCTGAGTTATACAGTGAAGATAAGGGGAACCAACATGGATGCATTCTTCAACCTCAGGCTAAGGATGAATGTTCAGATAGGGTTGGGCTAGACGTCCTCTGTGGTCACTTTCAACCGGAAAATTCTCTGAAACTGACTAGCAGCTCTGTTTGTTCCTGAAACCAAATTAAACACCTCCCCACTCATCCTCGTAGTTCCCTTTTGGAAAAGCGTGCCTGGCCAAAATAGGAAATATCATTTGTATGGAAATACTTGTTCCATTTATCATCTAAATGACTTTTTGTCTGATAGCCCCTAGGAATTCTATTACTACATTATGCCAACTTTAAAGCAATAAGAGAGCCATCATTTTGAGAAGAATGAAAGAAGACCTCCCAAATGCAGTGGTATGTACAGTCAAGTCCCCCCCAGGCCTTCTTCCGATGTTTACTAGTCAAGTGACGGGCCAAACACAGTTGAAATGAAAGACAAAATAAGGTTATTGTGTTTCCCTATAAAACCCCCCTTGAGCACATTGTCGCAGTTGCTTAATTCATTTCTAAATCCCTAATACATGGTATTTTTCATCATGACTAATACTAGTGTTGGGATTTAATTTTTTTTAAGTGTAACAAACTCTTTGTTCCACTTTGCAGTCACAGACACACTCCATTGAATTTCTCCCCCAAACTAATACATGCCGTTTAGATTTCTCAACAAATGCCTTCCCAGGAAGGAGGAGGAACACTCAGTAAGGGGCATGGGTAAACAGTACCTTTAGTAAATATGCTTTAGTGAGAATCTATATGCTATGAAAATAACGTCTAGGGATAAATGTTCAACATTTTCCGGAAAAGCAGACAAACGAAAAGCTAAGATTGGGGGACTCGGGTTTTTAGCAAGGAGGGAAGTAATATTTCCTTATACCTTCCTAGCTGTATAGAACTAATAATGTTTCCTCTAAACTGACTTGACCATAGAGCAGTTTTTGTTGTTGTTGTTTCAGAAGATAAGCACTGAAATTGAATTGTTTTTTTTTTTCCCATTCATATCACTTTTGCATGCCCATTGGCAGAAGCAGCTTTTACCTTATATGGTAGGACTACTTCTCCCCATCATGGAACCAGAGTCCTAGCCTCACTCTGAATTTGGCTTTGAGAAAAGCATGAGGATCCTTCATTTCTACCAGTGCCCTATCTATAAACTGTGTGATGCATAAGCTCATATTCCTTGAAGCCATCGCTACCTGATCACATGTCCTCCTCTGTCACTGTGATTTGCTTTACATAACTTTTTCCCTTTTATAAGCATTTTTCATAAGAATGAAACAGGATATTTAAAAAATAATGAGTTTTCATTCTTATTCAACCACCTTTGTTAATTATATAATGCCTAATGACATAAACCAATTTCAGTATTATTTTCTATAATTTAGTAAACTCACATTGTATCTGATAAAACAAAACAAAAACAACCCTTTTCTACTTTGTTAAAACATGTTCTGATCTTTAAAGTTAAAATAGTTAATCCAGTAGCTGAAATTATGTATATATACACATATGTATATACATATATGTACATGTATGTATTATATATATATATATAGATATACATATACACACTCATCTTTATATAGATATACACACACATACACACATTTTGACATAGGGAAAAATATCAATATAGATGTGCCTGCATTTGTTTTTAGTTTTACAATGGAATAGAGTGAAATATAAAGAATCACAAACAAAATTAAGTATGCCTAATATTACCTGACAAGAAAAAAATATGCTCTCTTGGAGAATTACTAACATGGGGTTCAGTGAAGAAAGTTTCATAATTTCTAGAACCAATAGTTAATATACAAATGCTATTCATATTTTTCTATTTCCCATTAAATAGAACATGGACAAGACCTACAATTTCATTGGCATGGCAATACAGATTGGTAAAATCTTGACAATTTATAGTCTTAGATGAGTTAGGGCACTGAAAGATTAAATGACTTACCCGGGGTCTCAGATCCAGTATATGCAGATGAAGGACTTCAACTCAGGTCTTCTTGAATATAAGGCCAATGCTGTCCATTGCTTTCTGCTGCATCTCATTGCCACTTTCATTAAAATACCAGTTAATATATTCACTGAAGTTTGTTTGGAAGTGTGACATCAAAACAGAAAAGAGAAAAAAAAATGGAGGCATAAATCTTTCCTTGGATTCTGACTTCACTTCCTGCCTTTTAAAAAGCTTCTATCACAGCTGACTCATATAAGGATATGGAGACAACTGGAAAGGTCCTATTAATCTACTGCAGGCCAACAATGGAGAACTTAAAAACACAACAATGTACAGGAAAACTATGGCACATTTCTAACAAATAGAAAAATCAGCCCCTAATCTCCGGATCTCCTAAGAAACCAGGTGATTTTGGCAATAGCTCTCCCAGTTCATTTTGGGGATGGTTCTTAACTTTGGTGATATCACTTCTAAAGCCCAGCTCATGACTCTAAGATGTCTGTAGTACTCATGATGGAATTCACAACTTAAACAGGCATCTTTCAAAACATTAAAATAACTTTCCCTAAACTGTACTACAATTCCACAAATTTACTTTGCCAAATTTAAGTAATTTAAGCAGAACATGTAAATTAACATTTTTGCCCTTAAACTTTAAAAGGTTGCAATACTGATATGCATGATTAGATTTAATGGTAAATAAATTAGGGACATCCCAATAATTGTAGATTTTTATAATTTATAGGAATTTCATACCACCATTTCATCATTGACAAGAAGTTGGTTTTTTTTTTTGTTCATGCTAATATAAATATTTGTAGTTGTTATTCAACCTGTAATGGTCCTGTATCCTGCCCTTATCAAAGCTTGAGGGGTTGATACTAGTGGATTATGATATATCTCCAAATTATATTTTCTAATGATTCTATTTTCTCAGTAACTAAATACTGGTCATCAAAGGCATATGATGTCATGAAACCACAAAGACATCTAGTCAGAGTCCTCTAAATGCCTTAACTTACTAATCAGAAGAAATTTACACATTGAGAAAATCCATCTCCACCTATGTGTACCCTTTGGCCATTTCCAAAGCACTTTACAATCCTTAAAGTGCCATATAAATGCTAATTATTAATCAGATATCTCCAAAATTAGCAGTATGTAAGTCATTTCCCTTGGTTTTTTTTTTAATGATCAATAGATACATACATATTCACAAACAGTACAATCACATGATGACATTATTTATTAAAATTTCAAAATTGTACATTTTTCTTAATTACTCTCTGCATCTTAAGGGTTTCTTTACATGAATTTTGAGTTCTGCAACGTGAAAAATTAAACAACAAGCTTAAAGTTTCTTTAATGTTGAAAGTGACCAATTTTGAAAGGGATTGATTGCGTTCTGTTGTCACTGTGAGCACTTGCCACAGACCATAGGTACTATGGCGATGACTTTTCTATCTTCCAAATCTAGAGGTTCAGACAGGGACACGATGTAGTCTGTGTCTGATCAATAGCTTTGCAGTTTCACATGTGAAGTCTCCGCCTCATTAGGCTTAATGTGGTTTTCATTGTGTAATGATGTACAGGGCTGACAACCATGCAAATTAAGTAAGAAAGCCCTTTCTTGTGCTATTTCCATCACAAACTGCTTGGACTCATTTTTAATGGGTACCCAGATTTTACTCAGGCATTCAGGAATAGAAAAAACATACAATAGTCTGCTTGAGTAGCCCTAGTGGTGATTATATGCTGTTTGCTGTGCATTTATGTGTTCTAATGGCCTAAAAAAAAAAGAACTTAGTCCTTTGTTGTGTAATTGTTAAGGATATTCTGCCCCAAGCCAGATTTCACAAGCATTTCCATTCCATCCATCCCAGCATTCACAGTTTCCACAGCTACAGATTCCATTGCCTAGAACAAAATGAACAGGAAAATCATTATCATAATTGAAATGTATTACATTAAAATGTGTTGTTATAAAACGTAACAAGCCATAATAAAAAACCATTCCATTGGCCCTTTAGAGATTGTGTTATTGTGTAGAATGCCTTACATTTCACTAAGCAGCTAAAAGAAACTGGCTCTTTGAACCAATTAATGGCATCTTTCCAGAGCAGTCATCAACCAAAGAGTAACTATTGTAATTATTCCGTCAGGTTTGGTACCCAGCTGGGCTTCCATTGCCATCTTTTGGGCCTCTTCTCTCAATAAAGAGGCCAGGTAACAAGCTATATAGCAGGCTTGTCTTTAATAAGGATAGAATGTACAAATACAGTTAACTAGTACAGTTATAGACAAACTAACATAACAGGGGGCAGAGGAGCAACGTTGAGTTACATTGGACAGGAAGAACGAGTTCCACATAAAGATTTCCTCTGTAGGAAGATGCCTGGTATACTTGTTGAAGGACTGGGTATATTAGCAAAGACCGTTTGAAAATGCCCTCTGTGCTCCCTCCCCCATTAGAAAGCTTTTATCCTTTTGTGAGAAGGTGAAGGAAGGTGGAACTGGCCCTATTTTTC